ATAATTTAAAAAAACAAACAAACAAAAACCAACAGACATTGGGGGGGGGGGAGGAAGAAGAATGAACTGGGGAGGAGGGTAGAGAAAACAGTTCAACAATGAATGAATGAGAACCCAAAATCTCTATAAATGCTCATTAAAACTAATCAAATTTAATAATAATTTAAAAAAATCACCATGGAATGTAGTCACCATTAAATAAAACCTGTAATGACAAATCTGAGAAATAAGAGCAAAGTGTGGTACATGGTACAAAATGGTTTCTTTTTAAATGTATCAAGAGTGCCTGTATATAAATAAAAAATGTTTACATTGCAATAATAAAAAAAAAAAAGAACCAGGCAATGCATCCTGCTTGAGAGAGAAGGCTGGGAGTGAGGGAGAAAGCAGGAGTGATGGGACAATCCAAGGGAAAAAAATAAAATGAGGGCTGAGAGTGAGAATCCGGCGGGGGGCGGGGGAAGAGGGCTGAAATCACAATGCCGAAGAGGAATCTTCCCGTCTAGCACAGAATTCAAGGAGGAGCGGCCACGGGGGAGTGGCCACCAGGGTGAAGGCTGGGCAGAGAGCTGATCAAATGTTCACGAGGGTGGACCACGAGGGAGTCTGTGTCACCTTTCCACCCCGTTATCACGAGAGGAGGCACCAAGGAGAGACTGCTAGGCTCAGCACATGAGGGAATGAGGACTGGCTGTTTCCAGAAGCCTGGACACAAAGGGCGGAGCAGAAAGTGTCCACCATCTTTCTATAAAAAGCAGCACTGAGTGGTGATGAGGATACGGAAACACAGGGAATGAGGACGAGAGACATGCCCAGAGGTCAGAAAGGACACCTGCTCCTCAGATCCTAAAGGTGGGGTGTCAGAAACCCAGGCTCGGCTCCTGATACACGGAGATGGAGAGGGGAAGCAGGGCGCCACGTTCTTTTAACATTACACAAAGAAACTCTTTGATAAGTAAAGAGCACCTTTTTGGGGGAACAAACCCATTGTAAATATTCTGCTCACGGTACAGAACTGAAATTCAGTTTATAGAGAAAAAAAAAAATACAAAACCCAAAAATAACCAACCCCCCAAAGTGGCAAAGGAGTCAGCTGCTTTAATTAAAAAAATCCCTTGAGATCTTTCACTGGTCAGTGTTTAGGGTGAGCCAGTGGCCAGGGGAAGTGGGTGTGTGGGCCACATGGCTGTACACACAATGTCAGTGTCATGCTTCAGCAGAAAATCTTATTTTTTTTATTTTTAATAAAAATCTATCCCTGGAGTTAAGTTCTGGAGCTCTGGTGGCATAACCTTTAGGGCACAGCACTGCTGACCCAAAGGTGGGGTCTCTTAGGTGGTCTGAAACTAGCGGCCGTTTTGTGGGAGAAAGACACAGTTTCTTCCTGTGTGATTTATGGCCTCAAAAACCCAGCCGGGGGGGTGGGGGAACCCAGTGGGGAGGGTGAGCTATGACCTGGTTCCAACTCTAAGCTGTGAGGGAGTGAGGGTGGTTAACAACAAAAGTGTTTTTCACAAGCCCTGTTCAAAACCCTGGGCTAATATACTTTTTGAACCACCTAATGCCCCTGGCCAGAACAGTCAATATCACTTTTAGGGTGAACTCTGGCTGTAAAATAATAATAATGTCTTTAATACATTAGCTATTTAATGACAACTCAAGCAGTCCTTAGGATACTGCAAATCTACCGTTGTTTTGCCACTGGGATTACTTGCTTTCCAACAGTGAATGATTAACATCATTCAACATCATTAGTAAAATAGTATAATCAGTTAGTCACTAAAGCCATTCTGTGTTTCAAGACACAGACAACAGACCAATTGCACAGCACCACCGTTATAGAGCAGGTCTGACATGGGGGACTGGGAGGAGAACAGGGTAAGATGGGATAGATCATGATCCCCGTGTCAGAACAGATGAAAGAATTGTCTGAAATGAACACATGATTGCATTACACTAGGACAACAGCCCCGAATAAGAGATACATCTTTGCAGGGAGAACGGTGGGGTGGAGGTGGTGGTGGGGTGTTAGAGAGGCAATTATGCAAACAATAAATGAGTTGTTTTTTTTAAAAAAAAGTGAACTGGGGAGGGGGAAAAGGTACAAGAATGAGAGAAAAATCTAACTTCTCTGTAAATGTTTGTTAAAATCACAATTAAAATAAAATTTTATATAGAAAAGGAACAAAGTTTTGTTAGTACCTCAGACGTCCAGTAAGTAGCCAGGGAGTTCTTAAAAGACCAGTCCCTTTGTCACAGTTACAGATGGTGGCAGAGGACAGGTGGGGACGGGACGGGACAGCGCAGGCTCCTGACTGTTCATGGGGGTTGCTGTGAGTCGTGGTCAACTCCACAGTCGCCTAACAACTACGACTCAAAGAGGCTGATGCTGTTTTAGACCCCGGGGATTCAGCAGTAAACGAGAGAGGCATTCGCCCTCATGGAACTTCCATTCGAGTGCCGGAAAACGAACAGTCAACAAATGAAATGCCTACCAAGTCCACCGGGAGTAAGTGCTCGGGACAGGAGTCCAGCACGGGCAGGAGTTCCTATCCTAAATGCTGTTGTCCGGCGCTGCTGGGTCAAGCACTGATCCCAGTCAGTCCTGTGCCGTCCTCACCATCTCGGACACGCGTGAACCCGCTGCTGCAGTCACTGCGTCAATCCACTTGGTTGAGGGTCTTCCTCTCTCCCACCATTCCTTCACCATCCCAAGCATGATGTCCCTCTCCTAGGAATAACCTCTCCTAGCAAAAGGCCCAAAGTATGAAAGACGTTATCATCTTTACCTCCAAAGAGCACTCTGGCTGCACCTTCTCCAAGACACATTTGTCTGTTCGTTTGGCAGTCCGTGAGCTGTTCAGTAACTCTTCTCCAACACCATGTTCAAAGGCATAAACTCTTCTTCTGTCCTCCCTATCCACCGTCCAGCTCTCAGGTGCACTGCAAGTGACTGAAAAGACTATGACCTCAATCAGGCGCACCTCAGTCCTCAGACTAACCTCACTGCTCCTCAATAAGCTGAGAGGAGGTCCCTGACGACAGACTTTCCCAGTGCAATACACCCCCTGAGCTCCTGAGCAGCAGGTACCAAAGTGTACTGATTGTGGATCCAAGTAAGATGAAGTCCTTGACGATTTCAATCTTCTCTCCATCCATCACGATGTTGCCTATCAGTCCAGTGATGAGTACAATGCTATCTTAAATAGTAGTAATCAAAGATCAGGTGAATGAGACCTGAAGGATGCAAGGGGCTGAGCTAGACGTTATATGGAAGAAGAGCAGGCGAGGCAGAAGGAACACCAAGACTAGAGGGTCCGAGGCAGGGGGTAAGTGGATATGTTGAAGGAGAAGCCCAGAGACTGGGGAGCAATTCATGGTTACAGACGAGGCAGGAGAGTGTGTGTAGGCCTGTGACTTTAAAAGTGTGAAGGCTTTGGCCTTGACTCTGAACAAGCTCCATGCCATCTGATGAACCAATCTGACTTGCTTTAAAAAGTATAATCCTGGCTACTTTACAGAGAAGACACTGTAGGGGCACAAAAGTGTAAGGAGGGGTTTGGAGGAAGACAGTGATTTATAACAGCAGATGTTAAACCAGGCATTTGGCTCTGGGCATATCTGGAGGGTAGAGACTACTGGATTCACTGAGAGAGAGGCCAGAAGATATAAGAAAGAAAGAAAACCATTGAGGAGGAGTCCAAAGTTTTGGGCCTGAGCAACTGGAATGAGGCATTGCCATTTACTGAGCTGGCAAAGACCACAGGTGAGGTAAGTCTGTGAGGAAAGATCAGGAACTCTGCTGTGGATATGCTGACTTTATGATTTATTAAATTTGTAGGTGGAAGTGTCAAGCAGGCTTTTTATTTTTACAGACAGACACGGGTATGTGTGCTTAGGAGGTTCCTAATCTAAATAGTTTCAAGACACACTGCTTGGCTCAGGGTCAAATGTGGGAGATGACACCATATAGATGCTACTTAAAGTCATGAGATTGGATAAGATCACAGGAATGACGATGTCTACCAAGGAGGAGAGGCTCAAGAGCGTTCCTTCCCCTAAAAAGCCACAGGCATGGGGTTAAGGTCACAGCAGTTTTAGCGGCTGATTTCAAAGGCTCCAAGATACAGAGACCCTCCCACACCCCGAAATTTCACTTCAACAGGCTTCTACCCAACTTAGCATCTTAAATTTAAGAAGTACTAAGAAGCCGGAGAAAACCCCTTGGGGGTCCTCGCGGCCGCGGATAAAGAATCTATTTTTCCAATGACATAGCCATTACACATTTTACTTTACATTTGCTTGAAAGCAAACATCAGTTAATTACTTAACTAAGAATACATTGGGGAGCTCTGGTGGCCAAGAGGCAAGAAAATGTACTGCAATCCCAAAGGCATGCGGTTCGAATCCACCAGCTGCTCAGCGGGAGCAGGATGGGCAATCTCCTCCCGTGTGAGTACCTGCCTCTTAAGACCAGCCAGAGTGTCAGCTATGGGTCGGTTACAACTCTGTGGTACACAACAACAATAGCAATACATTAATACATTATAAAAGAAGTCTTTTTAAAAATATCTATCCAGGAAAGCTTTTTATTCTAGCAGTTCTCAGTGTGTGTGGCTCTGGAGATGGAATTTACACCACATATGGAGCTGGGTCATGTTTCAAAAGAAGAAACAAGAAAACCCTTTTCGTTGTACATTTTTGAATTTTCCTTTTATGAATGTCCAATTTTGTACTCTATTTTATAGACTACCTACCCAAATTGTATGCTTCCCCTTGAAAAAGAAGCTTTCGGGCTATCATCCCTCAAAAACAAAATAAAAAACCTCTGTGCATCTCTGCTATAATCTCCATCAGACCCAGCATAGTAGGTAATATTACAATAACTGACAACCTTTAGCGGGATTCAAATCTGAAGTCACTATTTTTTTTTTCTTCATGCTAATCTCTGTATCGTTCCAATTTTAGTATATGTGCTGTCGAAGCGAACACTGAAGTCCCTATTTAAAACCTGCAACTTCTACTGGAAAAAAATCATATGCCAACGAGTCACCGAGCTCATAGTGACTACTTTGAATAAAGCTGTGGCTGCTCAGACCGGCACTGTTGGCTGGTCCCAGTTCACTCAGCATGTTGTTCTCCGCACAGCTGAAGCTGGGCCCTTCAAATGCATCTGGCTGTGGAACAAAAGCCGCAGGGTTTGAACCGGTGCCCGCTGACAAGGTGGCAGAGGACACGTGATGGCGCGGTCTCGAGTCCAGAACCGAATTACAGGAGCGGCTGTCAAGAGTCAAGCTCATGAGTCTGGAGTTGTCAGCGGCAGACATGCTCTCACTACAGGATGTTAAATCCACAGAGCAGCTGGACAGCACGTCTGGGTTGGGAATGCCGTACAGGTCAGTCGACGACATGGACGAGGCCTCCTGCCTGCCGATATCATTCGACATGTTATAAGGGCAAACGCTAGAAGCATCTGAATCATCTGCGAGAGGCATTCCCAGGAACGGTAAGATATTTTGTGAATTAGAGGACAGTGTTCCTGTTGAAAAACTATTTGTTGGATTTGTATTGACTGAGCTGGGATGAGCAACTGAAGACGAACTTGAAGAGAGGAGGTGCATCATGGAGGGCATGGGCGTGCTGTGAGCGGGCAGCGCCCTGGAGATGGGCACTGACAGGGAATAGTAGGATTCCGCCTGGCTGGGGGGCCGGGGCGTCTCAGCCGTGACGGCACTAGGAGAAAACAAGTTTGGCTCTGTGGGGAAGAAAAAGCATTTTTTTTATAAAACCAAAAGAAACAAATTTACAAAAGCTATTTCTATGAACATACTGATAAATAAAAGAAAAATTTAAGGAAAATGATGTAACATTTCAAATAAAAATTTTGAATGGCATCAAAATAGTCCACAAACTATATTCTGTAACACCTACTTTTTTATAAGCATGTATAAAATAATTTTGGTGTAGAGAGTGTTACTCTGGTTAAATATGAAAGTCATTTTGAAAAGTAAAAGATAAATATCAGAATTCTAGTTAGCAGAACTCTCAACAACCAAAACTATTTCAGATTCTGCACTTTAAGGAAAAAATGGAGGGATGGGGGCAACATGCATTAGGGGTGAATTATCAATCCACATAACTCTTAAGACACATTAAGATATAATCCTACCCTAAAGAAACCATAACCACCACCCAAGCAGATATATGCACACCCATGTTTACTGCGTCTTCGTTCACAATAGCAAAGAGTTGGAAACAACCTAAGTGCCCATCAACAAATGAATGGATAGAGAAGCTGTGGTACATTCACACAGTGGAATATTATGCTGCACTGAAAAACAAGGAACTCATGCAATATTATTCAAAATGGGTGACCCTGGAGGACATTATGCTGAGTGAAGTATCTGTCACAAAAGGATAAATACTGCATAGTGCCACTGTTATAGAATGGGACTGACATCAGGGCTGGGATTAGACTGAGAAATATTGGATAAATTATGTATACTGCATTGAAACAGATGAGGGAGAGAACAGTTTAAAAGCAATATATGATTGGGTATTATGGTTATGATAAGAGTCTAGAATGAAGGTTGCATAGTGGAGTGTGTGTGTGTGGGATGATTGTATACTAATGAAGGAATTTTACTTTTCTTTTTTTTCTTATTTTATTATTTGTGTGTGTGTATGTGTGTGTACCGTCAAATCAGATCTGACTGGTACAGGAGGAGAGTGTCCCTCCTTCCCCGGCAGAGCATCTGGTGGATTCGAACCGTGCGCCTCTGGGATTGTAGCTGCAGGTCCTTGCCACTAGGCCACCAGAGCTCCCCTGGAATTTTACTTTTCAAAGAGAAGCGTGAACTTGGGGTTGGGAAGAGGTGGGCAGGGAGAAAAATGCAACAATGAATGAATGGAAATCCAAAATCTCTGTAAAATGTTCATTAAAATTAATAATTTTTTTTTAAAAAAGATATAATCCTAAACCCCTAGATCTCTAGTCATAAAGATTCTATATTCACATACACATCCCATGAGTGATGTATATACTAAACCAGGGAAAAAAACCACTGATTTAAAAATGTTAAAGAAAAAGAAGATTCCTGGTGAATCTCAGGCTGGACCACCTAAATCCAAGCTGGCAAATTTTCCGTGATGGACCAGACAAGAACTATTTTCAGGCTTTATGGGTAACACAGCCTCTGTTGGAACTATTGAACCCTGCCGTTGTAGTGCAAAGATGAAGTCACAGACATTATGTAATCAAATATGTGAGGCTGTTCTCCAATAAAATTTGATTTCCAAATACAGGCTGTCATCAGGATTTAAACAATTCTTCCATGATACACTGTAATTAGTGAGATTATAACCATGGGACTGGAATGTCTTTTTAAAAAAATTTTCTTTTACTTGAGTGAAAGTTTGCAAATCATATTGCATTTTCATTCCATCATGAGTAGATTTCCTTGAAGAATAAATCCCAAGAATATAATCAATTTCCAAAAAGACTTGAGGAAGCCAACCTCAATTAATACCTTTAGTGGACCTATACTGAAAAGCATGAAAAAAAATTTGAGAATGAGAAATATCAAAGCAGTTACATCTTCCTAAAGAGGGAATTTTAATACATCATGCAAAGCACGGCTTTTTGTGGTCACAGAGCGTACATACCTTTTTTGATGAATCGTCCCTCTGAAGTTGATCCGAGTGGACCTGACCTTGGTCCTTCAGGAAAATTAACTGCTGTGAAAAAGTTTTTCCATTACAAAAGGTATATTGAAGATAGCATTATCAGATAAAATTGTCAAAGCTGAATCAAGCTTGTACAAGATTGCCTTAAACACAAATGAAGATAACACGTTCTTACCACAATCCTGCCAGAGCTTCTGGAAAAGCAGAGTTGTTTTCTGTTTCTTTGCTTTATTGCCATAAGTATCTGTTGAGCAAGAAACAGGAAAAGCATGTGAATCGTTATGGGACTCTGCATAAATTTATGGGTGCATTATTCATCTATCCGGGCACTCTGCTGGCACAGGCTGCCGGGAGGTGCACTGCGAACCTTTGAACAGGTGCGTCTCTGCAGGTTCAAACCCAGCAGCAGTGATAGGGGACAAGGGGCAGCATTTCCTCCCACGCGATTTACGGACCCTGAAATCCACTGGCCGTGCTCGGCTATGGGTCAGTTCCAACACCACAGCAATGGGAGTTCTTAGTTATTCACGTACAAAATGCTTCAGATGAACCTAATATAGACTTAAATGTTGGAGAAAACATCCCAAGTCAGTCCTAAAGATTATTTTCCTCTCAGTAAAAAATGGTTTAAATTATTCACCTTGTTTTCATGTGACACTGGGGTCAAAAAATCCAAATAGCATTGTAGGGTGGGATAAGGTAAAAGACCAAGATAGATGCCACCGTCTTCGTGGCAGGCTGCTCTGGGGCTCGGCGGTAAGGAATTGTGTTACCAACCCAAAGGCAAACAGTTCAAATCTGTCCACTGCTCTGTGGTAGAAAGCTGGCTACTCTCATCCTGTGTGATTTACAGCCTCTGAAATCCCACTAGAGGGACAGCTATGTCAGTTCTGATTCTACTTAACAACAGCAACAACTCTTCATGGCACGTTTCCCAACTATAAAAATGGCGCAACATAAGGCTAAAATAGACCTTGACAAGTAAAACAACATTTTGCAAATATTTTAGATACTTTAATGTTTTTCTTCTTTTTTTTCTTGTTGTGTGCTGCCCAACTGGGTCCAGCTAGCAAAGGAGGAGATTGCCCCTCCTTCTCCAGCACAGCATCTGGTGGATTCGAACCATGTGCCTTCAGGATTGCAGTGCAGCTTCTTGCCACTAGGCCACCAGCGCTCCGACATTAATTAGTTTATTTTCTATTTATTTAGTTATTTTAAAATAAATTTATTAGAGTAATAAAACCTCTTTCCTAAGAGTTGTAAAGATCAACTGTTTTTGTTAATGTGTTGTTGGATCAGAGGTGACTCTTAGCCTCCTGTGATTTTCAGAGGCAGTAAATCGCATGGGAGGTGACTGCCTATCTTTGTTCCGCAGAGCAGCTGGTGGATTCGAACCCCATGCTTGGCTCCTTACCACTTGGCCACTAGAGATCCCTAAAGATCAACTGTTGTTGTTTGCCATCAAGTTGGAAGCGACCCACAGCTGCCCCTCCAGCGGGTTTTCAAAGGCCAGGAGCAGACAGCTCATCCTTCTCCTGGGGAGCACCTGGTGGATTCGAACTGCATGCCTCCGGGACTGGAGTGCAGCTTTTTTTCACCACTGGGCCACCAGAACTCCCAAATCAAAATCAACTAGCCAGTCAAAAACCAACAGGAAACTTCAGGCAAAAATGTACAGATAACTCACAACTATATTTGAATGTAAAAGTGAGATTAGCAGGAACAACACCTAGAAAGTGTATCAAACCTTCCCCTCAAATGTCTCACCTTTCTCATCGGGCAGGTACCGAAAATCCATAGATTCACTAACTTCCTGGTCGGAAGGTCTTCGGAGCTGCATTTTCACTGTTACTGGTTCTGTTATCGTTCTGCCGTATGGTGGCGTCTTAAAGACAATAGCCACTTGCCGGTGCACATCAGCTTGTGAAAAGATACCTTTTGCTTCCCAGTCATTCAACGCAAAACGAACTTCAATGTCATCTAATGAATAAGAAACCAAAGAAATAATCACAACAAAAAACCAGAGCCCAACGTATCTATTTAATCTAAAATGGATTTTCATTAATCCAGTGGATCCAAAGAAATAAATACCTTTCTGAACTTTATCGCAGAGCAGAAATATCTCATCTCCTCCTCGGACACTCCCACAGTTCTTGTTCACACGGCAGATTCTTAACTCTGCGGTATTCGGAGCACCTACGTACAGAGGATTTTGGGAAACCAGGTTTAGACTTGAGTAATGTAGCTCATTCTTTTGGGAAGGGGAGAATTTTAGAAAAACAATTCACAGAATAGATTACAAAAACATGCTAGTGCACAGAGAAAGTCAAACTTACTGCATAAATGACGAACACTACCTACACTAACTGGGGATCTCTGCGGGCATAGCACTTAGGGACAGTGTTGTTATCTCCAATGGTGCCTCTTTGGTGGTACGAATCCACCAGTGGCTGTCAAGGGGAAAAGACAGGCAATCTCCTCTCGTGTGACTTACAGCCTCCCAAAAACCCACTGCAGAGTCTGCGAGGAGTTGGTTCTAACTCGACAGCAATGAGATTGTGTTTGACATGCTTAATTTACGCACGCCCATCCCTTTCCATTCTAACTGCATTGTAATTCCAGGCTGTCAGCCTTGTGATTTTTTTTTTTTCAGGCAATGCCATATCCTCGAATTAAATCTCTCAGCTCCTCAATTCAGATGCTGTCAATCATCCCACACACTGTCACCAGGTTAATCTTCTTTAATCATGACCGTATCAGGAAGAAGATTTGTTTTAAGAAATTATTTTTTAAAACTACATTTAAAAAAAATACACCAATACTTTATCTACATGCAGTTCAGGGGTGTTGGTTACATTCGCCCAGCTGTACTGCCATTCTTGCTATCTTTTTCCAAATTATTCTCCCACCATTAACATAAACTCCCTGGCCCCTAAGCTTCTCATGTCTGCTTGATCTTCTCTGCTAAGAACCATCATTCTTTCAAAAACCACAATGCTCAGAGAAAAGCAGGTATTCCTGATTAATCTTTTTCCAAATTATTCTCCCACCATTAACATAAACTCCCTGGGCCCTAAGCTTCTCATGCAACCCCCATGTCTGCTTGATCCCACAACCATCAATCTTTCAAAATGCGCAATGCTCAGAGCAAGAGCAAGCATTCCCAACTAATGACCGAGCACTTTCTAGTTCTGGGAAGACTACAGGGGTTAGTTTGGGCTTAGAATGGAAAAAATCATCTCTAGGCAACAGCGTTTGGAGGGGGAGTCTGCTCTGATCCTTCCTATTAGCTGGTCATTTAGACGCCATCTCTCAGGCACTGCAGGCTCCCCATGATGAGAGCATTGACTACCTCCATAGTCATAAAACACAGGCAAGTTATTTAAGAGTATACACACGTAAGACATGCACTCACACAGTGGTTTGGAAGGCAATTTCTTGATCTTTTAAAACTCACATATCCACATTTGTGTATCTACTGCAGCCATAATGCAACCAACCCAAGTCCTCATCAACAGTTGAACGGATAAACAAAATATGCAGCGTACATACAACGGACTAGTGTCCAGCCGTACAAAAGAAAGACATCCTAACACACGCTACAGTGTGGGAGAATCCTGAAGACATGAAGGTCAGGCAGTCGGTCACCCATCACTGTGGAGTGGGAACTGACACATAGCTGACTTCCCTGAGTATGTAAACCGCATGGGAAGTGAGCTCCCTTCTCTCTCCTAAGGAGCTGCTGGTGGATTTGAACCACCAGAGAATGCTCCTTTGTGGAAGCATCACGACCCCCCGATGGCCGAGGCCACCAGAGCTCTCTGTGCTAGAAAGTCACAAAAAGAAGAAGAAGCCACGATCCCACTTAAATGAAGCATCTAGAATGTGAAAATACACAGAGACAGAAAAAAGTTTTAGAAAACAGAAAGTTTTAGAAATAAATGGTAGTTGATGATACTACCACACTGTAAATATAATTAATGTCACTTAAAAATGGTCAAAATGCAAATTTTATGTTACATATATTTTACTATCACAAAATAAACCAGAACTACAGTCATAGCCTTTAACCTGACGACATGTGCCTGCATTTTTACCCTTTCTACACATTTACTTGAGAGAAATTCTACTTGTAATCCTGTAACAGGACAGGAACTTCATACAGTTAGGATGTACTTATATAATAAAGTACATGGCTACTGGAAAGGACAGAGGTGACAGAAAGGGAAGGTAAGCTGGTAAAAGAGGAAAAAAATAAGTTCATAAATGTGAGTGATCGCATTTATTTTTAAATTTTTTTGAGATTTTAATTAAAGTTTATAGAGAAAATGGATTTCTGTTTATTCATTGTTTCACATTTTCCACCCGGCCCACACTTTTCTCTTTGAGAAAAAAATTTAAAAAAATAGTTTTATTGTTATACAATCCCCCAGTCCACTTTACTATGCAGCTCATATTCTGAACTGTTGTCATACAAATAATACCTAATCATACATTCTTTTTAAGCAGTTCTATTCCTCATCTGTATCAATACAGAGCAATCACATTTTTCAAAGTAGCAAAATACGTGTGTAAAAAAAGGTGCCGTGTATCCACGTGCATGGAGAACAAAGACACTGATGAACTATGCATCTGAGGGCAGGGACCATCAGCGGAGAGGAGAAAACGGGAGAGTCCTTCTTTGTGAAGTATCTCTGTAATGTCTGCATTTCTTCCTACAACAAACATGTCCTTTTTAAAAGTAACAAAATGCTTTCAAAAAATTAATATTAAAACAACCCACCAGCACATAACTTCCTAAGGCTACAAGACAGCAGTGACTTACGGTTGTCGTAGATGGGGTTTGAGAAGACAGGAGGCAGTGCTGCCGTCAGGTTACCGTGCTCGTCTGGCAGGAAGACTTGAAAACACAGCCTCACCACATTGAGGTCACAATCTTCAATATCAAGGAGCTGCTGCTCAGGGACTGTACAATATTTAAAAAATATATTAAGATTAGAGAATCATCCATGGCACTAAAATCTCTGTGAGGTCCTTATTGCCTGCCCCTGGAACCCAACGACAACATTCAAATCTGTTCTAATAATATAAAGCGGGACACGGTCTCAAGAATGCCTTTGTCATTGTTGCCAAATAGCCACCATCCAACATTCATCACGTTTTGGCCAAGCTCAGGAAATAATTATTCCAGTCATCTGGGATTTAAAGTAGAATCCCAAATTGACATTAACAGCAAAGGAATGTTTAGGAAAACAAAATACATTGGAGACTGGCATATTTTTTCATTCACATTCATGAATTGAACAATTATGTATTATTTTCAGTCACTGTGCTAAGGACTATATGTACATTATCCTCTAAATCTATAAAGGAATTATGTTGTTGTTGTGGTTGATTGCCTTGAGCTGGGCACGATTGATAGTGAACCTATGAACAAAAGTCCTGAAGCCTTTCTGTAAATATCGATATTAATCAAAGTTCACAGAGCTTCTGGAGGCATGTTGTAGAGCAAGTGGACATCACTCCTGCTTCCAAATACAAGAATTATAAGCACCCTCATTTGGTGAATAAGGAACTGACTCTGAAGGGATTACAATGAACAAAGCTTTACAGCTAAGAAGAGGAAACTCAAAGTCACGCCATGCATTCAATCTAGACTTTTTACAAACAGAACTCTACTAGACAGTTTTCTATTATATTCTTGCATAAAGTTGGCATACACAGCAACAGCTACTAAAAGTCAGATGATTACTTCTGGAATGAAACAGCTAGAGGATACCAGATGATGTAAGGGAGGTAGTTTCCATAAGGAAGTTTATATGCAAATTTAATTTAAAAAATCCTATAGCAGGAAATTTCTGTAGTTCTAAAGAAATATGAAACACATTCTTCATGACAATAAAATACAGTGACAGCTAGCTAAATTGCTATTTGCGAAGAAACCAAATTCTAAGGAAACTATTAAAGCCTTTAAAAAAAAAGTCATAAACTAAAGCCACAGCATGACATATTTTTAAAAACATGACATACATATTAAATAAACATTTTTACTATATGAAAGTATTACATTTTGAAATGCTTAACTTGGAAATACATCCTCCACTTGCAGGCCTTCTAAAAATGACAATGTATTAGATGGTTTCTAGTTAAATTATATTCACACAGTAGCTGTTTCGTAACTAAAATTATAGAAGTACCTGCAGTCTTAAGCTTCCCACTTACTTAAAAGTAAGTAAGAACATATTTGTACAACTAAATGGTCAAAATATTATGATGTCACTTGCATCCCAGCAACATACTCTACTGGCACAATTACGCAGGCAATGAGAAGACGATTCCTGAAAAATTAATTTTCTCCCTCTCAATGGCTGACTTCTTTTAAATTATTTTTTATATTTTTAATAAACTTTAGTGCAAGTTTCCAGAGACTTAAGATTTCCATTCATTCATTGTTGCACTTTTCTCCCTGCCCATCTCCTTCCCCCCAATTCACTCTTCTCTTTGAAAAGTAAAAGAAAAATTCTTTCATTGTTATACAATCCCTCCCCCCAAGTCCACTACACTGTGCAACCTTCGTTCTGGACTCCTGTCATGACAATAATACCTAATCATACACTGCTTTTAAACAGTTCTCTCACTCATCTGTTTCAATGTAGTACACGGTAGAGGACCATAGAATGTAAAGGACTGCGTCCGTAGAATATGGCTGTGTGTCTTGCACACAGAAGGCGTCTTCAGAAAGAAGATTGCAAGCAGAGCTCACAAGGAGCTCTGAGAAGGAAGACTGTAAGCGGTTACATCTTTACACACTGACTTTCATTATTATTCCTGCTCTTGATAAGGTTGTTGCAAGATGAGAGAAAGCACAGTTTTATGAATACAAAGAAGTCTTGGTTGCACTTTATCTAACTATGTACCCAATCCATCCAAGCCCTAAATTAATCTTGATATTTCTATTTGTACCTGGCCAGCCTGGGCTCTATGATGTAACCCTTACAAAGTTTTTATTTCTCTGTGAACCATCTCTTTGTTTCCAAAAGGTATAAATAAAGATAGCACAGCTGTCCAGGGCTGGTCCAATTCTGTCCTGTCTGGCTGGTCCAGTCCTATCCTGTGCTGTTTTGTCTCTGTAAGTTGTTTGTCTCTTGTGTCTTTATTTACTTAATTCTTCCAGGCATAATTTCCCCCTGAGAAACAGAGTAAGTGGTCCCCAACAGTATACATTTTTTAAATTTTTTTAAAATTATTTGTGTGTGTGTGTGTGTGTACCATCAGGTCTGGCTGGTACAGGAGGAGACTGTCTGTCCTTCTTCAGCAGAACATCTGGTGGATTCGAACCACGCACCTCTGGGATTGCAGTGTAGCTTCTTGCCACTAGGCCACCAGAGCTCACCACAGTATATGTTATTTATCCCCTCTCTCTCAGTCTCCCCTCAATCCTCGATGTCAGTCCCGTTTTACAACAGTGGCACTATGAAATATTTGTCCTTTTGTGACTCAGATATTTCACTCAGTATAATGTCCTCCAGGGTCACCCATTTTGAATAATATATACCACAGCTTCTCTATCCATTCGTTTGTTGATGGGCACTTAGGTTGTTTCCAACTCTTTGCTATTGTGAACAAAGAAGCAATAAACATGGGTGTGCATATATCTGCTTGGGTGGTGGTTATGGTTTCTTTAGGGTGTATTCCCAATAGTGGAATTGCTGGGGCAAATGGTATTTCAATTTGCAACTTTCTGAAAAAGCATCATACAGCCTTCCACACTGGTTGCACCATTTCACACTCCTACCAACAGTTTCTTTGCAACCTCGCCAGCATTTGATGTTTGCTGTTTTCTGTTAAATTTTGCTATTCTTACAACCTTTAATCTTTTAATTTACAGCCTCAGTATGTTAATTATTTTTATCACTCAAGTAATTCTCAAATTAAGGTTGTTGTTGGTTTTGGGTAGTTTGGTGTGTTGTTTTTTTTTTTAAATTAAGTATTACATTATTATACACCTGGAGCTCAAGATAGTGATGCCTCTTAAGAAACTTTAAAAGCAAACCTATGAGAATGGATAAAGAAACGGTGAACTAGCTGTACAAGAGAATACTACTCTGCAATAAAAGGAACAAATGATGGATACACACCCGCACACAGAAAACAGCTCAAAAACATGCTTGAGCAAAAGAATTCAGGCACAAAACAAAATACTTCCATTCAAAAGATATTCTAGTAAATTACTACCTAACTTGGGAGTGACTGAAGAGCGTTATGCTAAGTGAACTACCTCAGTCCCATAAGGACAAATACTGTATAGAAGACCATTATTGTAGAACGACTATGAGTGTCCTCGGTAAGGGGGGGAGGAGCAGAGGGGTGAGGATGGGTGGGGAGGGGGGTGGTTAATCATAGGGTTGTACAACTTGATGGGTGGGCGTGGGTGGGTGAAGGAAAGATCCAGTGTAAAAAACAATGTATATGAACTTCATAAAGCAGTATAAAATGGAAATATAAAGCAGTATAAAATGGAAATATAAATAAAATATATTCTGGGGAAAATTCATCTACAGCAACAGAAATAAGTTAGTGGTTGACTGAGACAGATGCTGACAGAGGGTTGAGGAATTAAATGGGAAAGGTCAAAGAATTTTCTGGAGGTGATGGAAATAAATATTCTCTATCTTGACAGTAGTGTGGTTATATGAAAGTATATATTTGAGAGTGTTTTATTATATGTAAATGATACCTAAACAAAGTTCATTTAAAATCTTTTAAATATTACATAAAAGTAAAAAGTTGTTAATAAAGCAAAGTTTAAAAATATTTAGTCATGAAATCTTTCCATGGCATGGGAAATATTATACTTGCTTCTCCAAAAAGCATTTTTTTAAATAAA